ATGTTGGCTCCTCTTTCACAACCTGCACTGACTTGGTTGGAATGTGTGTCTGACAGGCTTCTGCCTCTGTATGTGAGGGTTTACCACAATGTCACAATTTCACTGAATTTAAAAAACTGATAAAATCCTGCTTTCTGTAAGTTACTATGCTGGATTCTGTGAGCAGAAGTTCATCATACTTCCACGGTGCTTACAAACTACTTATCTACTGTGGAGAGGTGGGCTTTCAAAGACAAAGAAGTTCCCAACTTGGCAAAGATGCTGAAAGGGAGATGAGAAGCCAAAAACACAACAATTGCTCACTCAACTTCAAAATTAGTTCATTTGCTCAACCTCATTTACTAAGTGCCTACTATATGCCAAGACCAGTGGCTTTCCTTTCCTTCCCACACATCACACTATATTATCATCCTTTATATGTCTCTCTCAGCAATCCAACGCCATCACATCACCTTCCATTACACTGAAAGTTTCTCAGGAGTAGGGGTATAGCTCAGTGATGGAGTGCCTGCTTAGCATGCAGGAGGTCCTAGGTTCAAACAATCCCCAGTACCTCCATTAAAAATAAATTAATTAATTAGTTAATTTAAAAAATAATAAACTGAAAGTTTCTGAAAGGCTGGGACATTGTCATATCAATTGACACATTGCCATGGACTCAATATTTATGAATGTATAAATAAATGATATAGGTATAACATATTATGTAGTAAAGGCAGGGAAAGAGCATCACAGGAAACACGGTATTTAGCTTAGCCTTAAAGAAAGGAAATGAAACAGAAGAGGGTTCCAGACAAAGAGAACAGTATAAGCAAAGGCCTGGGATGGGGGAAAGAGCGGGCATTTTGGAGAAGTCGGCAGATGAATTGGTTGGCTAATAGCAATGCTTCCTTCCTGGAGAAGGGCCCTGGCTGGCCGCCAACCCCACTCAACTGTACCAGAATACAGGGGAGAAGGGGTTGGCAAGCCTGACAAATTGGAAAGACTCCCCAAGTCATTCTGAGGAATATTCATGTTTAAGAAACATTATTTTTAAAGTGTATGGGAAGGTAGAGAGGATGACGAGGAAGGAAGCAGCAGGCCAAGTTGTGAAGAAGTGTATCTTTGGGGTCCTCCTGTGCCCTGAATTTCCTCCATTGGCCTCAGCCCTCTACCCTTATCCCCACAGCTCACTCCGAAGGCCCCTGCTGATATGGTGGTTATAGCCACTCCTCCCTCCTTCCACTTAGTCACGATTCCCTCCAGGTGAGCACACACTGACTGAGAGCCCACCACGCAGCAGCAGCGCGCTCTCGCAGACGCCCGGGTGAGGGAGGTCATCCCATCCCCAGGAGCTCACAGTCTAAAGCACCGCATTCTAATGTAAGTACACACATCAAACACTTTTAAGAACTAAAAGAATTGCCAATTGCACCAAAGCAGGGAGAGATCTTAAAGCAAATCATCTTGCCCTAATTTCCTAAAACACCCCAATTAAAAGTGTATCTGTTCTAAAATCGCTTCTGCCAACTTCCAACTTCCTACATGCTGAATATGCAATGTTCCAACAGCAAAATTCAGATGGATATGCTAACCGTCTATAGGGGTCAGTGGTTCTTTTTCAGTAGAGTCAGTTTTTTTAATGAGAAGCAGAAGTGATGGAGGAAAAGGTATCTGAGTAATGGGGAGAGAGAAATCCAGGCAACTCTCCTCACAGAAAACCAGTCATTTTCTCCTTAAAGTGGCAACTCTCCACCTATCTCATGCCCAGCATTGTGTGGGAGGCATTGTTGGAAGGTCCCAAGCACGGTGCCAAGGTGAGCAGATGCACTTGACCTCCCCAACTGGAACAAGAGTAGCTCCTGACCCTGCTGACCAAAAGCTCCTGGAAGGGAAAAGACAACAGAAGAAGGGGATGTAAGAGGAAGACTGGCTCTGCAGGGCTGCAGCCTCAGCTCAGCCGTGGTTCTGTCGGGGAGAGCACGTTGCCGGCCACCTCTCGGCTGCAGAAGTTCTCCCTTCATCTGCCTCGGGCAGCAGGGCAGGAACCTGGCCCCTGCTCACCTCTTTACCTTTAACTCTATCGACTTCAATTGGTTTAATTTATGTTCTAATAATACCTAACTGCTGTTGTGGCCTTCCCCCACACACACACACACTTGGCATCTGCTACTTCTTCTACATAAAACACTACATTGTTACTACAACCCCTTCAACCCCATCCCCATCCCCAACCCTTAATGAGTCATTTAACTCTCACACATCCTTCATGGCTCGCTTTGGTTGTGATTTTCTCCACGAAGCACACAAAGTCAATCTCACTATCCAATAAACTCCTTGAAGTCCAGACCCTTGCTGACTCACCTTCAAATCACGATTTAGTGTGGCATCTGGCAGAGAGTGGGTGTCCCGTACGTGTTGAACTGAATGGGATCCCTGATGTCTGAGTGCTTACCATCTTGGGTATAGAACATAGGAGGTACTATGGAGGTTTGATGGGTCTCCCCAGACAGACTTGAGAGTCAGGAACCCCAAAGTACAGAGAAGGTGGAATGAGCTATGGCAACTGCTAAGGAAACAAGAACATAAGTCTGGAGGGGAAAAAAATGACTTCACCAAAATGGAAGGGTCTGAGATGTTTTAGGACTGAAGCTTTGAAAAGTTTATGTTTCCTGATTCCATAAGAATTTTCAGCGGGTGGATGGTATAGCTCAACGATAGAGTATGTGCCTAGTGTGAGATCCTGGGTTCAATCCCCAGTACCTCCATTAACAACAATGACAAAAAAGAATTCTCTTAATACTGTCCTAGTGATCATGAGCTGGGGGCTGGGGGTGGCTATCCTGTTATTCACCTTGGTATCCCCTTGTGAAGGACATGAGAGGCACTCACCAGAGAGATATAAATTTAATAGTTTCTATAAATCTGATTCATAGAACTACAGAGCTAATTTAATGATGTTCATTTTATAATATGAATTCTATTCCTCCCAAGTAATATATTCATTGTCATTTTAAAATTCAGAGTTAAGGGGAAAAAAGCCCTTCAAATACTCTTAAGAGAGTCAATCAAATCAAGTGCCCCAAACTGGATGGCATATGCACTGCCTTGACAGTTAACTTAGTGCAAGAAACGTGACCTGTTTCAGGGAGAGTAGAGCTCAGAGGTAAGGGCATGCTTAGCATGCCCGAGGTCCTGGGTTCAATCCCTAGTACCTCCATTTAAATATGTGTGTGTATATATATATATATGTATATATATATATATACACATACACACACACACACATATATAACTAATTAATTAATTGACCTAATTACAAAAAAAAAGCAAGTTTGGAAAATTTCAGCAGAGGTAAAAGCCAAAAAGAGAACCAAATGGTGATTCTAGATGTGAAATTGCAATAATTAATATTAGGAACTTGAAAGTTATACTTCAAAGCAGACAGAAAGACAGGAAGTGATTACAAAAGATACAGGCTAGAAGAAAATATTCAGATGAAAATCAAAGAGAAACAAAAGAATTCTGGAGGGTGGATATAGCTCAGTGGTACAGCACATACTAGCATGTGTGAGACCCTGGGTTCAATCCCCAGTAACTCCATTAAAAAAAAAAGGAACCTATTTAAAAAAAAGAAATGTGATGTGTTTCATGAACATAAAGACACTTTGTTGGAGAGTGGGAACTTCTGCTCTTGGGCCTGGGAATTCCCAATTTTTGCCCAAGTCTTGGCGAAGTCAGAGCAAGGCTTCCTGTGCGAGGAGAGCAGTGGGGAGAGGCCAGGGGGAGTTGGGAGGAAAGGAAGAAAGCTCATTATACTAGATATCAAGATGTCTAGGTCCCAGCCTCAGCTGTGCCACAAACTCACCGGCCCTTGGCCTCTGGAGGCAACAATTTCCTCTATCTGAACAAGGCAGATGGATTAGATGATATTATATCTCCTTTTTAAAAAATCTTTCATAGTTTTATTTTTAAAAGTTGTATCAGAGATTTAATTTGTTTTAAAGCTATGCTAATGCTTGATTTTTACTGCTCTTTAGAGTTACAGTCAAAATTAGAAATAATAGCACACATTGCTGAGGCCTTCTTATCCAAGTTTCGACTGACTTTATGATGACATGAGTCTTCTCCAAGGTACGAGAGAAGGACCTGTTACTGAGGTACCTTGCTTTCCTTATAGTCATTTAAAGTGTAGCATTTACAGACGTTATAGAGAAATCTTTGGGGTGGGGGGCAGTAATTAGGTTTATTCTTAGAGGAGATACTGGGGATTGAACCCAGGACCTCATGCATGCTAAGCATGTGCTCTACCACTTGAGCTATACCCTCCCCGAGAAATCATTTTTTAAGTCTTCTAAGTCTTTATTTTCCCACCTTAAAAATATGTTTGATTTGAAAATATTTTTGACAAGTTATTCATCTGTTTTATTCGCCAACAATCAGTTGACATAGGATTTCTCTCATTCATTCATACATCTTACTGTGAGCAGAAATCAGTAATCCCATCCACTATCTCACTATGGGAAGAGAATTGTGGTGAAATCCAGTTGGTATTTTAAGCAACGCATTAGTTAGTCTCTACGGTCTTTCATATTATGTGTTGCTTCCCTATTGTCATTATTCATTTCTTGAGCACCTTGAGGCTATGAGTATCAGAGGCAAAGGTGTGTCATGATATCATCTGCTAAGGATCTAACAGATCGGTGGCCGGCTTTATTCTTTCTAGGTGAACTCTGCCACCCTCTATTTATCCCTTTTACATATGCCAATTACATCCTTTTTATATATCCCAATCATACATCCTAACTGTATCCCTTCCACCCGTGATTCTAAATAATTCTAGATGCCTAATCAAGGAGGTCTCAAGCAGTTAACCAAGAAGACCCACAGCCACTGGGGCCGACCCTCCCTCCCGGGACCTTCATGCCCCGGCAGCCTACGGCGACACCCGGCCCTCCGGCCCCTGCGGGCCGCCTCCGGGATCGCGGGAACGAGCGGCGCGCGCGCCCGCCCGCGGCCACGTGACCCCGGGCCGCCATGGCGGCGGTGCCCCGAGGACCCCGCTCCGATCCTCCAGCGGGCGCCCGCTTCTTCTGCACCGCGGGCCGCGGCCTGGAGCCCTTCCTGACGCGGGAGGTGCGGGCGCGGCTGGCGGCCACGCAGGTGAGTCGTCCTCGCTGCGATCCCGGGGGGGGAGGA